AACTTTATCACTACACTATACTCTGAGAGTATTCTTTGGTCAATGTAATTCTATATAAAAAAAATAATAATTTGTGGTATATTTTTTCTTGACATCTATTTAACTTCTATTAAAATAATAATATCATAGTTTACTGAAATAATGGGATAGGAGAGTTTTTAAAAATTTGTTTGGTTCCCCTAAACGGCCCAAACTACAGAAATTACCCAGTATTTTTCACGCTGAATTCGAAAAAGGCTATCAGCAGTAAGAAAATCTTCTCCCCTTCCTTCCTTTGAAGTATTAGTCACTGCAAGAACTTGGACTCGCTCCGAAACCAGAACCGAAACCTTTAATTTACCCTTAATTTTTAAAATGTAATAAGTTACAATTTTCCGGAAACTCAGGACACTTTCTGACTGAAAAAAATTACGGTCGATCCTTGTTGGCGAGTACCAAAAAGGAAATTTAGGTATAAACATGGTTGTATATCCAAGTTTGGTTGTCCTCGATATAATTGCACTATTTTATTGACACTGACAAATTATAGGCTAGGCTGCCCTATAAGTTAATTGGGAGTTTATTTGATATCTAGTCCTAAACCTATAGCCATCTTAAGGCAAACCTAACTAAAACTTAACCACAGAGATATAAATATAAACACTCATCCTCTGTAGGCCTAAAGCTACCTACCTATATTTTATTTGGGTTAGGATTAGTACTTTTTTGAGAGAGTGTCATTATGTACTGAACACGCCTAGATGATATAGGGTAATAGTGATTCATTAAATTATTCATTTATAAAAAGCAACCTAACCGAGTTACCTAATGATGTAACCAGTATTTAATACAACAATTAAAGCTTATGCCTATGTATATTAGTTTTAAAACGAAGTATAATAAGACACGTATAATCTAGATTAGGCATTGATTAGTGTTAGTAAACTAAACATGGATGAACCACTAAGTCAAGCTACTAACCCAGTTGTTCAGGCTAGGCTAAACTGAGTCCTGAAAGCATCCATCTCAAAACGGCCAAAACTTAAGAACAGATCCTAGGGATTGATTTATTTTAAACTTTATTTTTCTCAAATAGATAGCTAAACTGCAATCATCCAGTGCAATCATCCCACACTGCAAATAGCAACACTCAAACTTAGTTAGGTAAGCTAGTTAGGTTACAATTAATTATTATCCCTGTGACCGATTCAGTGTAACATCTGACATCAGTCAGAATCAGACGACATTATTGACAACGACACGACTCGACAACCAACGAAAAGAGTAATTTAGTGATGATAATAATTATTAAAAGCATAAAAAAATACATCGCTCGTTTACATTGGCAAAAGTATTAAATAAACAGTAATAAAGCTGAGGATAATGTAAGAATAGTTTTTTAATGGATTAGAAACTCATTACTCTGGAAAGTTTTATATGTTTTATGTTTTTTTTTTATGTTTTTTTAAGTTTTATACAGCTACAGCTGCAATCCTTTCCCTGGCTGAAGAGGACATGGTCATAAAACAGCCCCAGTCCAGTAGGGTTTCAGCTCACTGGACTGGAACATCACAAAAAAAAAAATACTTGGACGAAAAAGTTAGTTTAACCTCTTGTATATTATTTGTGAAGTAAGACAACACACAAAATGAAGTTAAAAAAATAATTACGATAAATTGCAAAAAATAATTATCTTCTTCATAATATTGTTAAGGTGAATCTTACAGGGCTATAAAGGCTTACAATTTATATTTATAAGAAAAGGGAAGCTAAATACAAAATACATACTAAATATAGAGCTACAAAGCTTGGAACAAAGTAACTGGACATGAAAATGATTTTAAAACATTATTCAGTGATCCTAGGGGGACGGCCTCCTATGAGCCAGAAGAACATCTTTTACGTAAGCATAGGGTGACATGCACATAAAATTAAGGTTCTTTATTGTTAAAATAGTAAATAGTAAAAACATCGATGGTAAAATACTATGCCGCAAACCCGAACTCAAACGGAAATCTGAGTAAAAAATTGGAGCCGTTCAAAGATTCAAAACTGCCTACCAGAATACATTTAATACATTTTTGTATCAGGGGGCCAGATTGGAGTAGGGTCACTGTTGAACCAACTAATAAAGTTCATAATAAAGTTCCTAACAAGTTCTGCCAACCTGTTATTAAAAAAAAATAATATTTTTGTATTAAAATTTAAAGATGAAGTAAGAGTAGTCAAGTTTGTTTCGTCTAGTTTCCTATCAACTCATCCAACCCTCTGTATCCTAATATTACCCTCTTCACTCTCTGTATCCCTATCATCATCCTTTTACAGTACTAGTAGATCAGTCGACCTAATCATAAAGATTACAATTAACCAGTGGTAAAATAGTTTTTAGCTTTGAGACAAAATAAAATAAAAATTACTCACAGTTTGTTAAACCCATCTGAGGTAAATATATTTGAATATTGTCACAAGGAGAAGGATCGTTATTTTCCATAAATAATTGATGTATGAAGTTATTTTTTTCTATCAACCTGTGAATATTTTAACTTATATATCTGTTTAACCTAGTTTTCGATCGACCCTTTTGTGGATTACCCGGGGGCTAACCAAGGCTATTTATTAAAAGCCCAATGATCAAAGACAGCTGAGTACAGTTCCCAACCCAATTTTGACGCTTACTGGAACTGGATTAAACCGGCGACCTACTTTTTAGGACAGTACTAAAACCATTCAGTGCTATATATTTGGAGAGACGACCTTACTAGCCTAACGCGTATACTTGTTAGTAAATATTTGCGTCTAATCGTTAGCAGACGCTGATCCACGGGGGTGGTGGAGAACCCCCCCCCCCAAATAAAGCAGTGAAAAATCGAGCTCGGGCAGAGTTCAGCGATTGCGGTAGACGTCCAGGATTTTGCCGCGATCGCTGAAGACTATGGTGACGTTTCCGTGACCGCGGGAGGCAACGATAATACAACCGCGGAAGATATTCAGGATTTTGCCGCGATCGCGGGAGACGATGTTTTCGTGACCTTAGGTGACGATAATAATGAAAATGATTACGATATCATGTTTGCGACACTAGCTCACTGAAATTTGGTGGAACAATTAGAAATAATAAAATTTGATCAAGCTTAAGCAGTAGGAGTAGGCCTTGATTGGTTATAGTTTACAGCAAAACATTTTCGTGGGAACCTAGAAAAACTTTTAAAATCCATAAAAAAAACGGGAATTTCACATTAAAAAATAGTATACACCCTGTATAACCTTGGTTTCTGTCTACCCTAACGGTCTGCTCGCTACCTTACGTATCTTATAAACTAATATTACACCTTATTAGCATGAAAGTTTTCGTTATTCTGCGATCAGCCAGATAAAAAATCAAGTTACTTGAAAGAGTGTTTTACTCCCAAAACTCACTTTAAATGCTTGATAACAACTTTTTTTAAATTATAATCTTCCAAAATGTCCCGGGGGAGGCCCCCGGGGCCCGGACTCCCTGGCACTGAGTGTAGGGCCGAGTGCCGGCCAGGTTCAGCCCAGGTTCAGCTCAGTCACATATTGAGCTGTGCGGCACGGTCCGGGCAGTGCAGCACAGCACAGGGCAGCATTGGGCAAAAAGTCTGTGTTGCACAGTTGACATCGCATATTGGGAAGCAGTGTCGTACAGTTCTCGTATAGGAGGGATAAAAGTTTCTTGTATGAACATGTTGTTAAATATTAGGATTTGAGTTCTGATTCAGATTCAGGTGCTGATCTAGATTTATTGTTACTTCTTCACCAGAGAACAAGAAAGAAAGGGCGGAAAAATTTACAAAGTTTAGTGATTTTCGTATTTTTCCCCAGATTTCATTCTTGTAATTACACTTTATATACTTACTATGACTGGTAACGTAAAAACTGGAAAAACGCACAATTTCTATTAATTATCCTCTAGATCCGTCACAAAACACTAGTCAACCCGGCGCAGGTGAGCAATGCGGCACAGACACTATTGTGACTCGATCACAAGTGCGCGCAGTCCACGTGCGGGACTGCACTGCCCTGCCCTGCGCTGCGCCATAATATGCGCGTGTCCTAGCGAACACGTGGTTTACAAAACACTGCCCTGCGCTGCACTACGCTGCACTGCTCCGACTGCGTCTCAATATGCGCTTCCGGCATACATTTAACATTGAACAGGTGTTCAAACATTTTCCATGATTTTAAATTTAGAAGAAAGAGTTTGTTGAAAATTGAGAATTTTTTAGAGTACATTGTGTTTCGAAATAATTTACAGCTCCGCTGCATTTTGTTGGATTCATAAAACATATTTATTGAAAAATAGTACACACCTTTTGTGGTGACACTAATGTTTTTTCACACCCATTTCCTTGGAAATTGGGAGTCACTTCAGGCGTTTGTAATATTTTCAAATATGTAAGTTTTTCCCCAATTTAATGGACTTAATGAGCTATGACAATACAGTGAAATCATCAAAAATCCCCAAACTAAGAAGGACTACTAAAATAATTGATTGCCAATTTTATCTGTTCTAAGAAGTTGATCATGTGCAGTAAGGATATGACCGGTTTCTGGTTCATTCTGGTTTATAGTGCGAGGGTGACCGGAAATCACTGAAGACTTTTCGTCGATAAATTTACCACTTGGAGGTTTCAGAAACCCCTAAAAGGCACTCGTTTACTATTACCACTCCGAACTTCAAAAATACTCGTATTTTCCAGTAAACGTAAAATTCACGCCGAGTAACTTGAATTATCGTTCCAAAACAGGACGGTGTTGGGTAATAACTCACTGGAATGATGTACAGTATGTGTCTCTGCCACAATGCGTTTATAGCATTATAGCGCTTCAGTGACACATAGCTAGGGTCTGCGACAAGGTGTGAAAGTGGGCCGACAAGGACGCGTGTCGCGGGACTGCGGCACTGTGGCAGTGGCAGTGTTGAGCTGTGGCAGTTGGCAGTGTGGCAGTGTGCAGTTGTGGCAGCAGCGATATTATTGACGTCAGCGAAGGCGGGGCAGGACCGGCGCGCAACTCTTCCGCGCATTTCGACCCACGGTCGACGTACACAGCCACAGCGTTCACGGCGTTCAGTAACACCGTCAGTCAGTCTGAAACCGACAGTCCGCGAGCGATTGTAGACGTCCGTACAATGACTGACACATTCTCAGTGATCTCGTCCGTGCCGAAGCAATAGACCCACGGACAGTCGCCCCGGCAACTACTGGACTCTAGAACTTTCCGTCTGTGAGAAAAGTGTCTAGTGAGGTTATCCGTGAGTGAATGTGTTATAGTCTCAGTGAAAATGCCTTTGTTCGGTGGAAAAAAGGACTCTGCGAAAAAGTCGAGGAAGGAAGGGAAAGAAGACAAGACACCCTCCGTGGAAGACAAGTACATCCTGAAGGAAATGCTGGGAACGTAAGTCCGTAGGTTGTACAGTAGTTGATAGTAAGTCTGCTTCCGCGTTCACGCACTCTCACTTTCGTTGATATTTGGGTCTACGGTAAATTTAGCTCTCGTTGATCGAATATAGATTGTAAAGTGTCAGTCGCCTGTATGTCTTAATTACCCAGAGTTTTCACTCTGTATTTTGCAATTCTGTTGTTCAAGAATCAATTAGAATACACGTGAAAATTACGCTAACAAGTAGCACGCTAAATTAAATTTATCTCAACATCACTGAGTGAAAAAACATTAAAAAAATAATTATCAAACTAATTTTAACATTACCACCTACCTACAAAATACCTACAAAATTCGTATTCGTGGGCAATTTCATTTAGTTAAATTTGTCTATGTATTTTCTTCGTAGAAAACTAACTATTAAAATGTCAGGTCATTATTTTAGAATAATAGTGATTGATTTTTGTTGTTGTTTTCGTCAATTGTTTAGAGTTAATAGTTCGATGTGTGTGAATGTAACGTTGTGAGTGTGAGATCATGTTTATGCTTTCTGTGACTGAGAAACGATCTTAAGATGATGTAATCACAACAGGTGTCATAACCTACAGAATACATAGCCTCAAGGCCTAAAATCCAACGTGTATGCAAATCAAAGAACTCGTATAACAAACTTCGCTTTTCAATTTCTTGTTTACCGATACATTTTAAATATTCCTTATAAATGAATGGTAGATATCGTACAACAATAAAGGGAACGTCATCTCCATTCATTTCTTTATTTTAAAACTATATCTAAAGTAACTTTGGTGAACACTAAATGGCTTTTAAAGTGGTTTTAAAATCCTTGAACTAAATACAACTTTAATACCCTTCACTAGATCTGGATACATTCGTGGATTGGGACGACAAAATATCTGTTCGTGTTTATTTTTTTATAATTCCAAACCTAATAGTTTTCACTTGGAAAATTTTACCTTAGCACACTAAATAGGTTTCTAGCAAACAACATCTTAACACAAACATTGAGTAAAAATAACAGTTTGCATTAATGGTAATAATTTGGTGTTTTTCGAATTCGCCGTAAGATTATTTTTGTATGTGCAATCGATAAAAAAAATTTCCCGATGTCGGGAAATTACGTTTATTTGATGTATATTTACAATAATCGATGTAATTTAATTAAGTGATGCAGAATAAAGTAATACATTTTATTTACTACAGGGATTAAATAGCCAATAATATTACTGAACAGTGAACATGATTATGTTTTACACAATTATTATTTATGCCTACTTTCGTCTTAATGAGAAGTAAAATAAAATCGGCAAGCACTCTCTTTCATAACAATATACGTTTACCCAGGTTTACTCATTACAGCGTGCCGAAATTACTTTGTTCATAAAACTTGGATGATAAAAATCCCGAATGTGGAATTTTCCTTTTAATAACATAAGTTAGCTCTATCATGTTATCAAAAAGGAAAATTCCCTTTTACCATTTTGCGTTTAAATATGTAATATACAACTGATTTATTAACTTAATTTATTATAGCTCTTGTTAATAAAAAAAATTTTCAACTTAAAAGTATTTCCCGTGATTTCATATAGTTTTATGTACTATATTTTCGACCAGTATCCGATAGAACATGTAGCCTATACTTTGATAAATTAAACGATTTACATACAAAAAATAATTCTATTGATAGTTCAAACGTTATTTGTAATTAGTTTGAAATGGATATTTTATTCGCAGTGACTACATAGCTTAGAGGACATAAGAGATTATTTCAAACCTTATTTTTTTTTTGTTTTAATACTAGAGACAACGCACGAGCTATGTCCACGGACGGGGTTTTATTTTGAAATTCCCTTGTTTCACTAGTCTTATTCGCAACCATACACTGATAAACTCGGCCGAAAGAGACTCGACCGATTTGTACGTTTTGCTTCTCGTCGCCCGATATCACACCCGTGGGGTGTGCCCTAGGTCAGTTGAAGAATGAATTCTTGTGCAGTCGATATTTGTATCCCAAGCTCTGACTAATGATTGTACCGTTTTTATTTAACCTTAACCAACGACCGGGTTGTTATTATTTTAGTCATATTCGTTTCTATGTTTATTAACTAATACTTCTTTACCAACTATTTTATCAAATACCCACTCATTGATTAACCATTGATTAATCGCATGGAACATCATGTTTAACCATTGATTAATCGCATGGAACATCATGTATTAGAGCTAAAATGGCTTTACACGCTGCATTTGATGTAGAGAGATTTGTTTAAACATCTTATATGAGGTATAAAAATATATAAATAACTGAACAACAACAACTGTTTTTGTCCTTGGTGAATACGAGTACATTATAATGATGTATGAATAAACAATAAAACAAAAAGAAAATAAATTGAAGTGGTTAACCGAAAATTAAATACAGTAGCTTACTGTAATCTAATTCCTACATTATTGCATAAAATACATTATTAAAGTGAATTAAAAGTATTAAAAAATAAAGAAACTTATAATTGTTTATCTGGGGATAATGTTGACGCAAAGTCAATTGAAGTTTAACAAAATTTACAATAGTTTACCTTTGAATGACGTTCAAGCAAAATCAATTTCAAGCATTTCTCGTTTTTAATAATGAACTTTAGAATGAGAAATTAGAAAAATTAAGGTCAGAGTTGAAGTTTGCTGAGGGAAACTCAATACACTTTAACTTATCAACCAATTCGATAAGACAATCTTTACATAGACATGTAACTTCTAACCAAAAACGATAGAAGTTAAATTTTGGGTTTGAATTGTACACTAATGGGGAGAACGTAGGAGTAGACGCAGAGATGATTTGAAATACGACGATATGATAAAGTGCCATTGGGGCGTCTAATGGCCCAGAAAGATAACCTTGGGTCCATCGTATCTGTCCCAAACTATCTCATAATCTGTTAATATGTAGCTTGTTTACGGCGATGGCTCGGCTGCTCGGGCGCAAACTGGTGGCAAGTTATTTGTTAACATTCCCTTCGAACATTTGCGTTTTTTTCTAAAATAATACCCCCGCCGTAGAAATCTGCAGACGAATCGAATTTCCATTTCCATGATAGGATTTTCAGTTAAATCTATTAAAATAACATCAGGTTTGACAAGTACCTAGGTTTGCTACTACAGGGAGGATAGTAAAGTGTTTCTAGTAAAATATTAATAGCTTAGTTTAAAATAAATTTGACAAGTTTGATCTAAATATATCCATAAACAAGCAAACTACAAAATTTTACAATACTCTCCATAAGAATAGAATGGGAATTTTAAATTTAAATTGTTTAAAATTTCTATGTAACCAATAAGCGGACAAAAACATTTTTATATACTAAATTATTAGCTTTTTAAGCTCTATGAAATGGTGTAGTGAGAAATTGGGAAATGTTGTGTATTGAGGGTCAAAAATTAGGAAACCCAAGTTTTACCCCATAAAACCCCCCGTAAAAACCCCGTTTCCATGGTCCGATCATGCTGGTTCGCGAACTCATTCAAGTCTATCCCACCTTACACCTTCAAACCAAATTTCGTAAAAATCGGACAAAGATTACTTAAGTTACAGCGTTCAAGGACACACATAGAAATCTGTATGTATATACATTTATAACATTTTGAACGGATGGTGTTTTTGGCGTCTGGGGACATCAAAGTCAAAAAGTAAATCGGTCCCGGGCCTAGGTCTTATCATGAGACACACGGTCAGGGAAATTTGCTAACACTTAAGAAATCCCATTACGCCATTTAATTGTATTTGAACCTAATCTTCTTCAAAGGTTTACTTAACATTTTCTAGCGTAAAAAGATGGTTTATATTTGGTTCGTGGGGTTTTAAATGACATAGGAACTTCCAACATGTTTGATTGATGATTGAAATCTTAATTAACTTTTCATGAACAATTCGAGTACTCATATTTACTCACCATACCTTGAAATTATTGGAGGAAGGATTTACTGAAACACCTGATATATTCATTCGTCCTAACTATATAATATAAATACCCCATTTCCAACAATATGTTTAGACAAATCTGCAAAATTGTGGTTCCTTGTATTATTTTGTCAACTTGAACAATGAAGAAAATTATTTCAATGTACGATTCATTCATCGATTAAAATGATTTCATAGTGTAAAAGACATTTTACGAAATATCCAACGTATTACTAAGTATAAAATAGCTATAGGCTTACTTGAAATGTCTTTTTTCCAATAATCGGAAAGCTGTAAGCGTAGGATCTTTTAGGTTGTGACGCATAGCAGCTTTTAGTTTTCCAGTAAAATTCTTAGATATTGTCATTAGAGAAAATTCAACTCAAACCAATGTTCAATCACTCAGTCATTTTAGCAACCAATTCAACATTTTCAGTGCCTAGTTTTTGGAAGGATATTTTTAGGCAATTAGTTCATTTAGTGCAATCAAAGCTGGCTAGGCAGCGTTCTGGTCTGGGTAAAAGGAGTGTAGGGGTCCCGGCCACTGGTCGTAAATTCAGGAGCCATTTATATAATCTAACTTAACCTAACCTAACCAAACTTCTATATGCGGGCCAGAGGTGGTCGGTTCTCCGCTTCCCGGGTAAAAGATCTCCGTCCCTTTGGTCCCCAGCAACTCTTCCATTTTAGCATAGTTATTGGTAGCAGATTCAGCACGCTTAAGTTTGGGTCAGACATAGCAACTATCAAACCCATTCGTTATTACCCATCATCACCATATTACCCCCAATATCCCATATATTCCCACAAATACCCCATTCATTCTAACCGCTACAAGGAGAAATATCTAAGAATAAATTGAGCCCATAAGTTATTGATATATTGATAAATTGAGATTTTAGGGGGAATGGAGACCTCAGGAGAAATTGAGATTTTAGGGGGAGTGGAGGCCTTAGAAGAAGTTGAGATTTTAGGGGGAATGGAGACCTCAGGAGAAATTGAGATTTTAGGGAGAGTGGAGGCCTTAGAAGAAGTTGAGATTTTA